TTATAATCCCGCGAAAGGGGTCTCTATATGGTTTACAAGCAGTTTTAAAGGGGTGACTTTTAGGGTCGCAAAAAGGCTCATGAAACGTGTCAACGAGTGAGTGATATGAGGTCGAAATCAACATCAGAGGTTAGAACCTGGATCACTTATTCTCTTCCCACGATAACCCCCTTCCCCCCCCCTCTCCTATATAGCTCTCTGGGAAGATTATTCTCATCGATAACGCCAAGATAATCATCAGGATCTTGGTGAGTTCCATCACTTTCTCTAGTCGTGCTTATGTACCACGGGGATAGATGATGGTGGTAGCAGGACTAACTTTTCTCTTCTGTCATTTCTCGCTACTCCTCATTTGTTGATAAACCAGTTGAAAGAAAATAGAAAGCATTCCTCATTATACCTTTATACGCAATGATAAACAACCACCTCTAATGTTGGCTATAATATCAAATCAAATTCAATGTGAAACATGTATGATATTTTTCTTTATAATAAATGTACCCATATTTATTATTGTATATATACGTGTTGTTATTATATCATGACGGAAGGAAGTGTATCAGTAATATTGAAAATGACTATGAATTGTGATTATAGAAAACAAGGCAGCGGCGCACTCGTCGTCATCAACATTGGCGACAACAAATTGCAACAATCATTTGCAATCATGGCAAAAGTCAAAGAGTCGCTTGTAACGAGAATGGTGCGCGGCACTTTCCATTATAATCTCCCGAGCAAAAAGATGATCGGTTAACAAGCCTTTACCGCAGGCGTTGATATAAACGTAGAAAATTGTCAGTTTTGTCGGCGCAATTCTTCTTGGTATATATTATATGTACGCATTTACTTCGCTGTCTTCAAAACGTCGTTTCCATTTTATGAAAGTTGCATTTAACGCAAATCAACCTTTTGTGTAGATATAATATTTTCCAAATGGATTGAAAATTCTTTTACAACTTGCTAAAAAAAAAAATATCTATTCTAAAGTTCACTTTATATAGAAATTGTGAAAGTATATAGAAATAATTGCTGTTTAATTCTTTCTAAAGATCCAAATAGTCAAATCAGCCGCTAAATTTTGAATCTGATCTCAAATCACTATTTCTCTAATTATTGTGCGACTCTTTCACTAACTCAAAAGAGAGTTGAGAATAATTGATAATAACAATCAATGTGGGTCAATTTTAAAAGATGAAATTGTGCGCAGTATGGGATTATGTTTCATGTGGCAAAACATGCGAATCGCCAAAGGACAAAAGACACAACTAAAGACCAAATGATCGAGACATGGTACACGGTTTTCTTTGACCTCTATGGCCTCTGATTCTCCGAGTCGCACACTCGCCTCGTTGGGAATGCGACTTCCCGAATGACTTCCCAAGTAAAATGCTTACAATGAACGTCGCGGTTCTAAAGAGTAGGCGAACGTTGAACCATGCTACAAGCCCAATACATAGAGATCTCCTGTTTATCCTTCCATCTTTTGAGGCCGGGTCTTTCTTTTTTTTTTATGCCGCTCTCGCGCGCTTCCGCGTCAACGTGTCCATTAACGTAACAACGCGAAGAAAACTAATCTTGGCAGTTCCCGACGCTTTCCATCCCACCCAAGGTCCTTGTAACATGACCTCTGCGCGTGCCTCTATATACGATACAACGTGTTTACTTCAACATGTGTTGCATATATATATATATACATACTATCTTTACCTCTTCGCCGCACGAAGCTTCTCTTCTAAATAGGTAGCTAGATGCATTCACGTGCTCAATGGCGCAGCCACTCAGAAAACCATTAACTCAACACAATCATTAAACCTTGCCACTTTCGTTTTTCATTGTTTCATTCTTCATCAACCGTCCGTAATTGCTATTATTGTTTTCAAATTCCAATTGTGATAATAATCTCTCTATAAACCAACATTAATTAATTTTTTCTCTTCTTAAAAAATCCCATCATTCTTTCTATATATAAAAATAATTTTCTTTGTGAATCGTACATATAGGAATACAGCATATAACGGGACCTATAAAGAAATCAGAAAAACTTCATTCCAAAGATCTCAGTGAAAATATGACAACCATTTTTTTTATCGCAAAGTCGAAATTCAATCTAACATAAAATCAATGCTAAAAAGAACCTAAATTATACTGCACTTTATGAAGAAATTCATGTATGCCGATTGACTATCATATCACAAACACGTTCTTGAGAAACTAAATTTCCATGATGGAAACTTTAGTGGCAGTGCTCGAGTAAAACTGTAAATTTTGAATATAAAACTAGATAAAGAAAGAGGAATAAATTGTATTTTCTTTTTTTGTTAGAATTGATATTTTTTAAGTGTACGGAAAACGCAGTTATCCTTAGAGGAATATTTCAATATTAATTGAAAAAATTAGATGACGATTTTGTTAAATAAATGGAAATGTACGCCAATGAACGTTAGTTAGGGATGTTTTCATGGCGCGAAATCTCTCGCGCTGATAGGGTTCTGTGGCACGAGGTCGGCAAATTCTTACCGGTCGATTGTCTCTCATCGTCCCCATGTATTTTTATTCCTAGGAACACGAATGTGCACACGCCCAGATCACAATCATCCTTTGGATTGTGGAACAAACAAATTCCACCTCTTTCTCTAATATTCTTTCTCTTTTTCACTATATGGTCTCATCTGTTAAACGAATACTGTTAATCTCTATTCTATATCGTTGGGTTAGGTTACGTAAGTCGAGACGGCCTTGCATTATAGCATCATAACCATTCATTCGGTCCGCTCACCTGCAATGCGCCATACAATTTGTCCCGCCCGATTCACGTTGCCACTATACATACATATAGCCTTTATGCAGTAGCTCCTGCGACTGTAAGTTCAATACGTCTGACAAACAGGAAACGTAGCCTGCAAAAGCAACTGGCCGTGGATTATTATTTTGAAAAAAAAGGGTCAAAGAACGACCTCGACGCCTTAAAAAACAATGACAATTCAAATCATATAATTTCTTTCTCCTCTGTTCGCATTTAATTTCTAGAGTGAAACTTCCGCTGGCAACAAGAATGATTGGTCAATCGGTATGTTTCTTTAGAAGTATATATTGACTAACTGCTCGGATTGCAGTTATAATTTGTGTACAACATCAATCCAAAAAGAGAAACTTGATTGGCTGATTATGGCTTCAAACTTAATTCTGGGTAATTTTCAGTAGAAATGGTAAACTCATCAGCCTAGCTCTATGATGACCACACACACGGGCGTTTCAACACCTCGTCTTACAAAACGCGATTTAGTTTTGGAAGATAACGATCAGAATCCATCTTTCGAAACTGAGTACAATTTTGGAGTTGTAAATTTAGAACGAAAGTAAAAAAAAAAAAAAACATGTTTTGAAAAAGTAATTTAGATAAAGAATAAAAAATATTATCTACAGAATTTAATTTAAAAACTTCCTAAATCAAATTCGACATAAATTCTTGCAGTAGAGAATTAATTTCATACCGCACTTGTATCAGATTATCAACTATGTTATATCTTAACAAATTTACCCCCATTAAAGAAATTTAAATTTTAACATGAAAGCAGCAACTGTAATCGATAAACATGGAAACTATTTGCACAAGGGGAAAAAAATGAGAGTAACCTCATTTTACAAATTCCAATAAGTCATCATAAATTTGCTAAAATTACTATTGGCTTATTTTCCAAAGCAATTCTGAGATTGCCTTATAATCGAAACGAAGGTAGTTTGACACATTTCGGAAATGAAAGGCTAATTGCTATTCCGTTCAAGTATATATTCCACACGTCATACATATATATTTGTTCCAAATATATATTGATCAATATAAATGAAAACTGAAAACAATTGACAATTCTTTTTTTGTTCAATGCAACCGTTACAGGAAGTTATCACTTCAATCTATCAACTGCGACACAAAACAATACTATAAACATTGCCGCACACGAACTTGACCCTTATGCTTCACTGATTCAGTTCTGATTTTTACCCCTTATAATGAGAACAAAAGACGGCAGAAATCTCAAGATGTCTCAAGAAATTAAAGACGAACATTTTATACAAGAATATTCTTTAAAGAAAAAAGTAAGAATTCATTTTAATTTTACTATTTGAAAAATAGTAAAATTTATATAAAAATAAAATTGATAGCTTCCTTTACGAATAAAGTACCTATTTACAACTATATAATTCAATCACACCATATATATAAGAGATCATGTAACTACCTGTGAACATGTTATGTATGCCACTGAACTGACAAAAATACATTCAACACAATGTGTGAAAGTGAAATATCGTCAAACAAGAAACTCATATAGATACAACTATTTTATAAATACATTCTCGCTATTTATAGAAAACAACTTTAAGACGACTGGACAAAACATTCGAGTTAATTGCTGGGCAATAAACCACTTGTCGCAGTGCATATAACGTTTCTCTCTTTCTATATACGACATGGAATCAAGTGGTTGCAAAATAATTGTAAAATACGCTCGCGCTAACAGAGAAACAACGAGAAAACGTATCGCGATACTCGATTCTCAGTAAGATCATTTCTCAATCGGCCGTGACTAAGAATCTTGTATATAAGCGACTACCTGCGCGCCGCGTGCTCCTAATAAATAATTTTCACCGGTGTCAAAAGATCGGTGGGTGTTCAGACGATAATCAATGCAATAACACAATCTATATGAATTGATCAATATAATATTCAAGTCGGGGGAAAATGCCTAACATTTAGTATATATCAAAATATAGACAAATTAAGGCAAATATAATTGGATTAATAAAAGGGTTTGACATTAGAATAATTTATTAATCGATTTGAGATATATATGTGATAAATTATTCTATATGACAAATGGTCCATTTACGGTAAATATTAGTTTATAATATTGTCAAAATCACTGCAAATAAATATTTTAATCGGAGTGTATCATTTCCCAAAGTAAAAAAAAAAAGTTTAAATAAAAAAAACGACTCACCGTTTGATGAATCTCACGCAGAAGAAAATAGTCTTTGAAATCTTTGGCAGCAAGGATCCGCTATTTTCCATATAATATCCTTTCTGTCTTACAATGTTGTTATACGTGGAAATGACCTGAAAAATAAAATGTTTTAAAAAATTAAATACAATTAAAAAACAAACTTTTTACAGAAAAAAAATCAAATTATAGAATTTTTTTTTTAATAATAAACTACTCTGGTATTTAATAATTAACTTTTTGTAATATTATTTATGTTTTAGTGCTACATATTTAATTGCAATTTGAAAAAAATGCACATTGTCTAACAATGATTAAATTGACCTAGAAATTGTTCAAAGAAAACCGCTGACAGTATCATTTATTGCCCTGATATCATCGAAAGTCGACAATAAAAGATTTTTCCAATTTTCAGGCATATTGTCTTCTAATGATCTTGTATATTTCACAACGTGATTGATTGTTTTAGAGTGACGATCACATCGCTATTTATAACACGCAACAGTTAAAAATAGATAAAACCCTTCTCAGAAATTATTTAAACTTTAAATAATTTCTCCTATATGATAAAAAGAATAATGCTCAAAAAAAAAAAAAAAATTGTCAGATTCCTCGGAAAATATTGTCTTTTCATAAACCACAAAGGAAATAAGACGAAAAAAAAGCATCAGAGAATACAAAAATAGAGATAGGTTATTTCTAGCGTAGAAAGTGGAAATACTCTAACTCGCCGATAATAGTTACATTGCGGGTATTCTTTCCACGATCGAAAACTCTTGAGTCATCGCGGCGGACTCTTGAATCAGAAACGATTATTTTACAACCTTATATATATATATATATATATATATATATAGTGAACCCAAGCAAAATAAAAGAGAATAATAAAAATTCTCACAAGCGTGAAATTGATTCGCGTTTCCAATAGATAGATTTACTTTCCAAAGAAGTAAAAATTCTAAATATTAATTTGAAAAACATTTTTTTCTCTTTTGGTCAAATTATTTAAATATCTTTTTGTTTTTTTTTAAGGTTCGCGATCTGGTTGAGAGATGCACTTGTCCGACACAATTTCCAATGATTCGTGTTTCCGAGGGTAAATATCGAATTGGGGACACCAAGGTTCTCATCTTCGTGAGGATCCTGAGAAGTCATGTGATGGTACGAGTGGGCGGAGGCTGGGACACCCTCAGTCATTATTTGGACAAGCACGACCCCTGTCGATGTCGAACCTGTGAGTATTTATATATATATTTTTGGGCGTCAAGATTTATTTTATTTTTTCTATTAACCAAATATTATTTCTTTCGAATAACGTTTAATCTAAAAGCTAGTTTGAATTCCCTCGCTTAAGGACAATGCCCTCTCTCTCTCTCTCTCTTTTTATGTGCATTCAAATCCTCAATTTTCACAATAACCGTTAGTGACTAACACACTGGAATTCCTATGTTAAATGCAGTTTTAAACCATGTGATTGGCCAATTACCTCTTTAACGATCAACGAAATTAACGAATTCGTTAAAAAATCCCAAGGATATAACGCGTTAGTCGTATGCCTCATCTTTTATGGAGTGCCTCACTTCCTTAAGAGTCTTTTTAATATTCTATTTTAAATAGAGTACATATCTTTAAAATAAATATCACTTCGAAACCAACAATATATTAATAATTATAAATTAATTTTTAAATATGAATCAGCGAAATATCAAAACTAATCAAAATTGTAAACTATATTAGGATGAGGATAAAAGAGATTTTCTTTTCAGCTCATCGATCAATGATCTCAGCGAAATTGATCCAAAAAGCTGGTGGATCCTTCGATCTTGGTAGCGCGCAGGTGCATTATGAACGGTAAGAAAATTTATACCAGTCACACATCATGTCCTGTCCCTTTCATTTTCAAAAGATTTCAAAAAAAAAGCGCTCCATTTTTTACTGCATAACAATGACAAATACCACAGTAATTACGTAACTTCTCTATTAAAAATTTCCTCTAGAGAAAATAAAATATTCTATTTATTATTTTTATAATTCTTTCTTTTTTTTAATAGAAAATTACGTAATGATAGGGTAGAATTTAGAATTGTTATCGCAGAATATTTAGCACGATAGGAATCCCCATTTTTTCATTCAGATCACCTCCAAGGACCCGCCGCAGTTCCGCCTCTAGCGTCGGATCCTGCGCAGGCACTACATTACAATCTCAAAATCAGCAGCCATTATCATTGCAAATCCCCAGGAGCATTTCGAGCAATCGATCTCGATCACCTACCCCACACCACGCCAACAGACTTCTCATTGAAGACGTGAAGAAGAATGGCAATCGTTCCAGGAGTCCCACACCGCAAAGGAAGTTCCACAATAATCAAACACATCAATCAACTGATGCCGGGAAACTAAGGTCCAGATCACCAACACCGAAGACACATCCAAGATCGCGAAGTCCAACTCCAAAGGTGGAAAATGTCAAGTCAACATCACCAAGAAGTCTCGATCCAACACGAAAGGCGCTTAATGAAGAAATTCGACAGGTCAAATACGATGGACGATCACAAATGTATCACAGCAGACATCAGGATAATTATCAGGTGATTATTATTCTCTCAATTATTTTTTTCTATTCTATTCCAAATTGATGATTTTTTGCCTATAGTGAACTATGACTAATAAAAAAAAAAATAATAACAATGTTTCAGGATCCTAAAAAGGACCTTCACCAAGAGATCAAGGCAAAGGTGCCTCTCTCTGAGGATTTTTCAAAACGTTACGTTGTTGATGGTGGCGTTGCTCGTAGAGCAACAGATAAAGATGACACTCCAAAGTATGAGCCAACAATATACAATTACAAATGTCAAGAAGATTCATCGAGTCGTAGTCCAACACCGAGTCCACCCGTCAAGGACGAGACGAGTGAATCTTTCGGAAAAGAAAGTCCCCAATATCCCAAGTCACCGCATGGCGATGGTGAACATTCAGACAACGGTAGCGAGGTCTCTGATGAAGGTTACCGAAGTTTAGGTGCTGTACAATCATCAACAACCAATGGTAACACGGGAACCGGTACTCAAGGATCGCCCACGGTTGTCGACTGTCACAGTAAGTAATATTCTTTCACCTTGTCAACAAAAAAAAAAAAAAAAAAAAAAAATGATCGCAGATTACTGTCAATGCTTTATAATGAGCTTCGGAATTCACCATATTTATATCAGATCATACATTTTATAAACCTCTTATTTATCAATAATCTTCACACGTCAACTTTCGGAAGAGAAAAATAAAGATATTTGACACGTTCTGTTTTTGATACACATTTTACTAAAATAAGAGAGGTCAATGAATCTTGTTCACTGCAAAAAAAAAAATTAGACACTTTTAAGAAATTTCCAAACAGTTATCACATCTAAATATGTAATTTTTAGTAATGCAATTTTACTAATTTTTATGTAATATTATTTATTTATGATATATAAATGAACGATTCATTAAAAAGAAATCTATGATCAGAATCAACGTTCCCAATTTATTAAACGACCTACTTTTCATTCGTTGCTTAATTTATATTATGTGTGCAAAAAAAAGGACAAGTTGTCAGACATTAATTTATCAGATATTCATGTCCTAGTGGGTGAAGGTCATTATTGACGTTTGCAACGGAAATTGATATTCTAAATTGAGTTCACAATCGATTTGTCCTGAAAAAAAAGTTTTTCTTTCGCAGAAAAAAAACTTTTTTTCGAAGAAAAATAAAAACTAGCTGGAAATAGAAAAAAAACAATATATCGAAGACAATATCTAGAAAACAACTATCCGGCAATTTTTTTTAATTGTTAAATATAATTTTCAAACGGATATTTTTTTTAAATATGAATCCTAAAAGGTTTAACACATTGTCAGTGATAAATTGACTTTATAGTTTCGCAATTTTTCGAAATCGATACAATTGAAATCATGCCACCTCTCTATATTCCAATGTTCCCATTCATATGACGTTATTAAGCGGAACGCACACAGAATGCAATATCCGGAGGCTGAGTGCAGAGGTTAATGGCCAAGAGCAACTTTGATCACATCGGCGATCTCAATGGATATTAATTTCAAAGGCATGAAAATTATTCAATTACAGATTTCTTAATTCAATAAGATCGCTAACAGAGTGAAAGTTCAAGTTGTGCTCACGTTAGTAGCGCCCATCCCTGGAGGCCGCGGCACGACTGCGCTACTTCACGAAATGAGGGTGTGGGAACTATTTGAAAACTCGCGATATAAAAAGAGAGCGAGAGAGAGATAGAATGAAAAAAAGTCGCCAAGGGAAAGGGCAGATTGTTTTGATATTCTTTCTAAACAAGAGGAGAGAAACTATATAGAGCGAGAAACATTGAATTGATACCGTTGCCGGAAAGTCATATCTAATATTTAAATATATATATAACTCCATATATTGTATGTCAGCTCCATAAATTGAATATAACTTGCATCATGATTTTATTAGTATACGTCAAACTGTATATATACTCAAACTCGATTTGATATCCTGTGAGAGAAATAAATCTCATGTATCCCAGCACTTGATTGAATAATATCTTCACATATAAGATTGAATTCAAATTTTTTCAAAACCATTTAAAGCAGATTCCGATCCCTTCACAAAATTTCAACTCAGAAGAAGAAAACCTAAAAGAATAGCTATTTTAACCTTTTTTCTAAAATAAGGAAAATTAAATTAATTTTCAAACACAGTAATTGAGACATACATTTAATTCTTCGGACACACTTATTTAAAAGATAAATATATTATATGTGAAGAGAAGTCGCCCAAAGCACGATAAATTGATTCCCATATCTATTACCATCGGATAAGGATAAAGTATATACCGTTGCATTTCATTCTTGTCAATATAAAACTTCAACATGCCTCGTGACTGACGTGGGTCACTCAGATCAGAGCTCGCGATAACCTCTTTCGCGATTTTACCCTTTGAAAATAGAGGGAAAAAAAAAAGAATTTCCTTCAGGGTGACTATAAGGTGGAATATCGACTGCGAGATAAAATTTGCATCCCGCTGTGAAGAAAGTTTGGAATATTGCAATCGGTATTCTTTTGATGTTATATATGGTGTAGTGCTATAGTCATTCAATTTAACAATGATGAACAACAATAAAAAATTTCAAACAAAAATATACACGATTTATTGAGACAAAGTGTCTTATTATCTCACGCATGATAATCATCTCGAGCTTTTATTTTCTTTCAGCAACAATAATTCGATAAATAATTTGTTGAATTACTAAAAAAAAATACAATATTTAGAATTTAATTCTAAAAGAACATAATTTGACCCATATTTGTAATTGATAATCTAATAAAATAAATTGAAATTGATAATTTACGGGAAAGATGAGTGTTGGAGTTATAGTAGAGTCAAGAGTGCCTTGGAGGTCGGCTGTCATCGCGAGTTTGGACCACCCTGCAGTCCATTAATATTCAAAGTACACAAGCCACGTATATGAAATCGCAAAGAGGCTGGGCTGACATTTAGCTGAACGAACGTCTATGGGATCCCTTGAAGCGTGGGCGAACCAACAACCTGTCCTCTGAACAATTGCCAACTTTTTGATTCTCAATAAGTCTCTTTAGAACCCCTTTCTACCAAGTAACCACATCAGGTGTCCAGATCTCAGTTACAATTATCAGTGAATGATGAATCACGACCTAGACCTTCCGAATCGCATATAATATAATGATTTTCTGAAAATAGTATGAGATTACATAATCCAAGAACAACGGCAATTTGTATTAATCAACATTAATTGTATTTGCAAATATATTTTTCACGATAGCTTTTTAAAAATTAATCTTTTCTCAAACTATCGCACTCAAATTTATCGGGTTACCCTATAAAATTTGATACTTAAATCTGATGATATGCAAACTGATTTTCTTCCACTTCACTTGATATACTGAAACTACTCTTTTAATAGTCCATACTGAAGGGATTAAAAATAAAACACAAGTGGTTTTTCGGCTGTCAAGAATCGCACTCGAGATGAAATCAATTCTCAATCTTGCTGCGTCGAGAGCGATGGGTGTAAAAAAATTTAAACAAGATTGAAAATGATCTTCGCGCAACACTGCAGACTCAGTTTCATTCTTGTCTGAATCAATCAGCATTCACTGTGTGGTACTTTTTACCCAAAAAAAAACAGTTAATTTCACTTAAAATTATTTCAATTTAAAATATTTGTTTACTACAAATCGTTCAGGATTATTTAGAATTCAAGTCACTGCTAAAGTATAAATAAATATTGAAAAATTTGAATTCTTAAAAACCCACACGTTATGCTAATTTCAAAAATTGTAGTTGAAAATTTACTTGATATAAGAGAGACGAATTTGGCGATTTAGAAGCACTAATTGTAAATCAAGACTTGTGGAAACTTATTCAATGTGGGTGTCACTTTCGAAACTTCGACGTGATGATCGCGTGTCATTTCGAGCTTAAAAAAGAATCTAATATTACAAAGGATTAACCGAAATCGGATAGGCGCCAGCATATATTTATTTTTAATTTCAATGAGATAAAAAAAAAACTTAATTTATTTTCAGAATAAATTAATCATTTATAATTTCATTAGGTGCTAATTAACCTCAAATTGATTTTCACCATTAAATTGACTCACTAAAGTAACTAATAAATCATTCAATAATTAATCTCTAATTAAACGACATTAACCCATTTAACTATATATCGAGTTCATTCAAAATCAACTAAAATAATTGAAATTGACATAAATATATAAATGAAGAAACTTGTTTGTTCCAGAACAACCGAAAGCAGATCAAGGAAGATCATGCGTGGAGACGGAAAGTATCGAGACCGGTTTACGTAAAACAAGAATAGGTCCCCCGAGTCCATTAAGAGCATCACCATCAAGAAGTGCAGCTTCCTCATCAGGCGATCAAACACCAAGAGCAGGTTCTATCGTTCGGGAAAATAGCAATCTTTCGAAAGCATCATCAGGCAGCAGAACACCAAGAGAAGGCAATTCGAGTCCAGAATCAAGTCCTTTAAAACGCAAGGGCATACGCGACAGTATCAAAAAACCACCAACTGGAAGTCTCAGCAAGGCTTCAGCCGTTCCTAAATCATTACAAAGTTCATCTAACGGCAGGAACACCTGGAATGGCCGTCAAGTTAGACAAAGACCAAGTCTACAAGCTGATACATTTTCCACTCCTCAAAATTCCACAACAACATCAAATTTTTCTAGAAAAAATCCTGTTAGACAAAGTTTACCAAGGCCATCGAATGGACCACAATACGATAGAAATGGACGTCGAATAAGACCAGCGACATCATCATTACAATCGTCACCAACCAAAACTGCTAATCCATTGCTAGAACAAATTCTACAAAAAGTGGGTCACCTACAGGATGATCAACAAGTTGTTCAAAAGTTACAGGACTTTCTTCGTGATTACAAAGGTAATGGTTCAGGTCAAGAAGGTGATGCTACACTTGATTTTACAAGAGCTTGGGTTGATGGCAATGGAATTGTTGAACTACCAGCAGAAACTTCCAATTCGATTAGTCCACGAAAAGATCCAAAATCAACAGCGGAAAGGGGAAATTTCTCCAAAATACCTGCACCGATTTATAAAAGGCCCATGTCTGTTGCTTCCGACAGTATCTGACCTATTGGTAGAATCCCAAGAACGTGAGATTAAAGGTACTTGACAAAAATCAAGGCTGGTGCTTCCGAATTCTTTACTGAATAAGGGTTTGCCTTGATTCGAGACAAGACTTCCGTGTGATCACGATTCAAAAAAAAAAAACCTTGGTGCGTCAAACCTTAAATGGTGCGTTTGAGAAGAAAACATGTAACATCGACGAAAATAAGTTCTGACTGGTGCTTTTAGAATTAACATTTTTAGAAAATCAAAATTAGGTAAAAATAAAAGAAAAAAGACGAGAGTGAATTCGTTCATTCAAAAATAATAAGGTTGAGTATTAAAAAAAAATTTTGTGGACTCCACAAAATGAAGATGTTTTAAAATGTTAACAAATTTACTCTCTGAGAATAAGCATATGTATAATAACTGATGTGCAACAATGGAACTGAAATCAAAATGGTTGACAAACATGAATTTAAGAGTGATAATTTCAATTAAGAATAATAATAATAATAATAAGAGTAATAATAATTTCAAGTTAAATGAAACTCAATTATTTGGGATTAAGTTTAAGAAATACTTATAGCACCTTATTATGTTACAATTGCATGAAAAATCTATTGTTGTGCACCGGTCGTTTGTGCATTTCTCACAGTGCAAGTGTTCAAGGGATTTAGTGCGCGACTAGGGACGTTTATAGCCAGTCAAGTGCGTTAATGGCTTCCCGATCGGCTTCCAATGTGTGTTGATTGCAGACCGTGTGATTTAAGATCGATGACCCATGATAGGCGCATAGAAATTGTCTAATTATTTTCCTATTTTTAAATTTGAATAATCAAAAATTCATTTTTATTTTATTAAAAATAAAAAAAAAAAATTTTTTTGACAAATAGAACTTTTTCTACGCGCCTTTATTTTAAGTGTGTTCTGTTAATAATTATAGGTCTGCGATTTTTTAAATCGTTATAACATCGTTTTGACCAAAGATGAAACAATTCAATAATTTGAATTACTGATTTGCTTCATCTATGGTTCTTTTTTATTGATCACAACGACGACGATCGTTTATAGAAATTATTTATTTATATAGTCTATCGGTTGTATTTATTAAAGACAATTTATTTACCCGTTGTAACCCTTATTTTTCTGAGCTAAATTATAGTACAGAAAAATTTGGTATAGGTATGAGAGTGAAAAGTTGTTAACAGGAAGGAAGTGAGATTCTGACTCGAGAATAATATAGTATACTTTATATATTTATAAAAGTATACTATGCATTATCAAAAAAAAAAAAAATAAAATAATAACCCCAACAGACTGCGTAGATAGCATATATCCACGATAAAACAAACGCCATTCCAATGTTTAAATGTCTTTTTTATACCAAAAGCAAATGTAGACCATTTTTTTACCAAGTGTCTTATCGTTATATAGTAAAAGAGTCAGTTGTTGAAATCTCCTTTATATAGAGACCTAATTCATTCTGACCACGAGTTTTAAATTTAGAGTGAAATATGCGTCGACGTGATAAGTAAAAGACAAGTGGGCGAAAACGATAGCAAGAGCCTAAACTATTTTTTTAGTAACTATAGAGAAATGATGATCATAGATTGTAAAAAAAAAAAGTGGAGAAACAAAAATCTATCTCGTGAATTTGGCAAAAATATCTCAATTGTTCTTTATAACAGATAAGCGATTAATCAAATAATATTTTTGACTATATAGAAAAACATTATTTTCTATAAAAATAATTTTTAAAACAAAAATTAGCTCAAAATTCGTACATATATTAAAAAAATCTCGTCAAACTCACGAGGTAGAAAATTTTAGATATACTCCGTTAATTTTGAGAGTGTAGTATTTTTTTAAGCAATTTTAGTGCCCACAAAAATCTACTCTATACAATATAAGAAGCAGTTAATAATATTGATCTAAAAATGCATGCCGAAGCTTTACATCTCTCCAGTTCACAGATTAATTGTGTCAATATAAAACAAATATCGATTTTTGCGCTCATATGATTATCATCACTATTACGAACTACAATTATCTCTTTTTAAAATATTACGATTATTACCGCGATAATTATTGCTATTATTAATATTAATATACGCGATGTTGCCTATTTTATGTTATAATTTTATCTACATCTACGTCAAGTTGTAAACTGAACAAATGAGCATTAAATAAAAACACGAAAAAACTCGAAACCTTCAATATTATATCATTAATTCCATATCCATTTTACTATAATAAATTATTTTAAATTCTATATCTCAATTTCTAATTTATATATATATATAGAATCAATAGAATATTATTGAACTATATTAATATAATTAATGGAACAAAATTGAAACAAGTTCTAAATTGCTTTATTAATTATTCAATTAATTTCATTAGTGTTTCTCAATAATGACCGAAAAAGATGAATAGAAGGAAAGTAAGACCCATTATAAGGTTCAACCTCATATGGACTGTCGTCCTTGCCGCATTTGGTAAGACGAGACTCTCCTCCAAGTATATAACCAAGGTATACGCGAATCTCGGACATTTTTTAAAAGGTTCTGTCGTTTATACATTATTGGTTCTTGTAAGAAAAACATAATGATGCATAAATTAATTACAAAAATTATTAATTGGCTAAATTGACCAATGGGTTACAAAAAAAAAATACTTTGTATCCGTAATTGTAGAAGAAAATTTACTATACCAATTTGAGTAAAAGTAGATGATGATTTCATCATTTTAGAAAGCAAAAATTAAATATTTAAAAAACCTTTGGAAACAATTCTTTAAATATATCATTAATAATATGAATAATTAACTGAATTAAAATCTAAATCGAAGAACAAATAAATAAGAATCAAAGAACTAATAATTTCTAATAAATATAGAATTATCCTTGGAATAAGAATTAAATGAAAAATATGTCACACACTTAAGAAATCACTTTTTTATATATCCTCTATATTTATAACCACTGTCAAATATAATTGCATTCTACATATTCTTTTGCATAAAAAAATTTTCACGACACATAAATGAAAAAAGAAAAACGTCAGTTTATGTAGCAATGAGAAACTCCTAACACCAAAAGACCATTTTGTTTTCATAAAAAAAAGTTAACTATACACACACATATATAAATACCAGTGGTGGAAAGTTGAACGAGACAAAGGACCTCAACAAGACATTCGCATAAATTATCTTGCAAATATTTAGAAAGGTTCTTCATCAACGTCTTGGATATGTTGGAAGAAGAAGAAGAAGCCACGAGAAGACTCTCGACATAAGAGGCTGAATGAGACGTCAACGATTTTTAAAAGTGCATCTTTTTATTTTTCACTTCAAATGAAACCAGTCAACGACCTCGCATCCAATAATCGATGAAAAATATTTCATTAGTTCAACGAATATGTCTTTTTACCACATCTCTACAAGTTCCCAAAGAACTAAATATACTTTTATTTATTCATATTTAAAAATTAGTCGAAAAAAGAGTTTTATTCTTTAAAGGGTGCGTGAAACCGAAAATAAATTAATTTCATTAAAATATTAATCGTTTATGTATATTGATCGAGATTTTAAAAAGAAAAGAGAGAGAGAGAGGTCCTCGGGTGTTTCAAGAACTCTTATCGTGGGCGTTAGCGTCAGGCAGGTGCCTATGGCATTTCGTACACAACCCACGCATTAGTAAGTACTTACGCACTTTACAGTGACGGGAAAATATAGGGGGATTTGTAAAGGGGTTCCAACAAGCGCAAAACCCAAGCACACTATTGACTCTCGACACACTCAAGAAATAATTTTCTGATCGATCGTGCGTGCATACCGATAGTAAAATCTGACTTTATGGAAGTCACCGCGAGCCAGGTTATATATATACGTAAATAGCCAACTATGTTTACCTACAGCTTTCTGGCTCATTGAGTTTCTATTCTATAAATTGTGTTCGTACTTAGCTTTTTTTTTTCCTCCATACGAGAAAAATTATTAAACTTCCTCGCGTGGAAAATACACCTAAAGAAAAATATTGTTTAAAACTTTGTAAAAAGAAATTCATTCATACTTCAAAACGGTGTAGAAAAAAAAATTTTAAAAAGAAGATATTACTTAAAAGGGGATTTCCAATTTTTAATGAAACTTGTAAATTACTGAGAATTTTATGTGTTGCTGCCTGTATTTAGCGAGAGGACTAGAAGTGTTTGCTATATGTTAAAAAGATATGTGCGAAGTCCACAACTTAAAAGCGACAGTTGACTGTCATATGTCTTTCGAACATACCGTTTTTACCACTTGGGAATATAATCGACTTTCGTAAAGGCAAATCAAACTTTCTAACAGTTACGCCAACGCCATTTTTGTCGAGCTCATACCATCCAGTGTGAAAAATCATTGTCTCTATGGAATGCGAATATTATAATAATTTTAAATTTATCACATTAAGAAAATCGCAATGCTCGTGTCAATAAAACTTAAACCTGCTTTATCAACTAATCCTACAGCAAGTTAAACAACTTCTGAAAAGTATAACATACCTAGAATATATTATAAAAATTTTAATGTTACAAGAATCTGAAATTTTCGATCAGTTGAAGTTAAATTGATCCTATATATATATAAAGCGGATCAAAGCATCTTAAATCTTACAATTTGGTATCAATTTGATACCTTCAAATTAAACGTAATTTTTAAAATTTCCACAACATTTTATTACCTTTTCCAAGAAGTTAAATAAAACTAAATTACCACTTTTGAGATATTTGTTTCGAACAAAAAATGTATGGCGCACTTTTTGATTGGTCCAGCGGATGCTGAGCTACACTCAAATAAATTTCGGAAAAAAATTGCAAAAATTAAATTTGCGAGATAACTGCTCCGGAATACCACCAATAAAATAGGGAAAAAGTTTCGAACAAAAAATGTATGGCGCACTTTTTGATTGGTCCAGCGGATGCTGAGCTACACTCAAATAAATTTCGGAAAAAAATTGCAAAAATTAAATTTCCGAGATATTCTTTTTGGAATATAACCATAGTATTTAGAAGAAAGTTCTGAACAAAAAATGTATGGCGCACTTTTTGATTGGTCCAGCGGATGCTGAGCTACACTCAAATAAATTTCGGAAAAAAATTGCAAAAATTAAATTTGCGAGATAACTGCTCCAGAATACCACCAATAAAATAGGGAAAAAGTTTCGAACAAAAAATGTATGGCGCACTTTTTGATTGGTCCAGCGGATGCTGAGCTACACTCAAATGAATTTCGGAAAAAAATTGCAAAAATTAAATTTGCGAGATATTCTTTTTGGAATATAACCATAGTATTTAGAAGAAAGTTCTGAACAAAAAATGTACGGCGCACTTTTTGATTGGTCCAGCGGATGCTGAGCTACAGTCAAATAAAGTTCCGAAAAATTTTCGAAAAATTAAATTTGCGAGATACCTGCTCCGGAATACCACCAATAAAATAGGGAAAAAGTTTCGAACAAAAAATGTATGGCGCACTTTTTGATTGGTCCAGCGGATGCTGAGCTACACTCAAATAAATTTCGGAAAAAAATTGCAAAAATTAAATTTGCGAGATAACTGCTCCGGAATACCACCAATAAAATAGGGAAAAAGTTTGGAACAAAAAATGTATGGCGCACTTTTTGATTGGTAGAGGGGATGCTGAGCTACAGTCAAATAAAGTTCCGAAAAATTTTCGAAAAATTAAATTTGCGAGATACCTGCTCCGGAATACCACCAATAAAATAGGGAAAAAGTTTCGAACAAAAAATGTATGGCGCACTTTTTGATTGGTCCAGCGGATGCTGAGCTACAGTCAAATAAAGTTCCGAAAAATTTTCGAAAAATTGATCCTATATAATATAAAGCGGATCAAAGCATCTTAAATCTTACAATTTGGTATCAATTTGATACCTTCAAGTTAAACGTAATTTTTAAAATTTCCACAACATTTTATTACCTTTTCCAAGAAGTTAAATAAAACTAAATTACCACTTTTGAGATATTTTCTTAATCAATAAAATGTTTAATATTGAAATGTCCCAGATTAAAATTTTTTCATATGGCGTAAAATTACTAAGTGGTCCAGGTAATAAAATCACGATCTCTTGAATAATAGTATATTCTCTATCACTTCTCTCTCTCTCTCTTTCCCTCTTAAATTTCTTTGATAACGTTAAGAGAACAGGGTAATGAAAATTGATATAATTTGTCTATTATCATTAAGTCATAAAATCAGAAGAGGGAATTTTTCTCAAAATTTTAAGAATAATATATAGTATCAGCAAAAAAAAAAAAGAAGTGACAATACACTGATTTACGACATCTTTTTTGAGAAAAAGTGTTAAAAAAAGATCTAAAGCACTCAGATGTATAATCAAATATTTGAACAAGCAAAGATACAGCTGAGAAATTCCGCACACGTAAAAATGTGAAAAGAAACACATGAGAATTTGGTATGGGTATTAATATGTATATATATGACTCAAAAGAACACATATTCTCAACTTCGTAAACACGGTAAAGTCATTGGGTTTCAACGATGACAGTTGTAAAAGATGGCACTGTTCGGTGAGGTCGTGAACATTGCACACGCACGAACGACAAATATTGTTCTAAGGGCCTTGCACGCAAGGCTGTTACATGACCGATGCAAACACCCACAAGTCCAAGTACAACGTTAAATCCAAAGGTCATCACCTTTATAGCCACTGTTTGAGAATGCGTTGTCTAGGTTTACTCGATATGAAAAAAAATATTATACATATACATGCTACCAGAAGGTAGAAACGAGCCGTGTCATCTCTCACTGCTAATGAGGGGTTAACTATGTCGCCTGGTGTTTCTCTACTATCACCATAAGTGGCCTAACTTCACTGGGAAATTCTCTGACTTTGGACAATAGCTGCTGCTACGCTATAGATGCGAAAAACTTAGATAAGGCAATGCGGAAAGACTTTTATCTTAAAAATATTGAACTTTTGTCGACTAGAAAGGAAATCATGTCTTGGGAAGATCATGATAGGGTCAACTCCTTTTTTTTAATGATGCGATCAACACTTTCCATTATAACACTTTATTATACAGAGAAAAATTATTGAAAAAATATTTCAACACTTTGTTTCCCTAAGGAGAAAATATTTCATACATAAATAAGTGTCTGACTATGGTTTTACTACTGAAAAAATAAAGAAATTTTAACCGTTCTGTCTGACTAAAACTTACCTCTCCTACTATAGTTAAGAGAGAATTTCTAAAATCAATTTCCAAAAACTATTAATATTTATTAAAGATTAATCATTGATTAATATTGTATAGTAAAATGTGCGTTTTGTCTGACTGCAATTTACTTTTACTACTGATACTAAAATTACACGAGATTCTATTCTCTATGAGTTTTCAATCTATCACAGTATAGATGAAGTGGATAATAAAATTAGGTACAAAATTTATATCTTTATAGAAATTTAACTTTCGCGAATAATTTTATTATCCACTTTGCCAACAGCAAATGTTTACTCACAGAAATTACTCAATGCATATGGATTTATAACATTTAATGCATCGGCAAATAAAATTTCTATAGACAAGATGAAAGTTGAAAAAAAAATTTTGTGAAAAGGAAATTTTTTTTTAAATTGAAAATTCGATTAATTCTGAGTAACTTTTCTAACACTTTTCAATTTTCATTAATAAAGGAAATTTTTTTACGTTCGTAAAAAATTTTAAAATGTAATAAAATAATAATAATATATAAACTAATAATAATAAATAATATAATAATAAATAGTGATAAAATATTTTACCTTAATGACGAATTTTCAACTTCAAGGTGATGCTTTCAAACTAAATAGCCCTCGGAGATCCCTATTTTCAAATTAAATTTCCATTCAAAAAATGTGAAAAATAACCGTAAAAATAGACCGAGTTCTAAAAAGTCTGAAACTGGAGAAATCTGTGTCTTTCACTTTCGCCCTTATCTTGAAGTACGTGATACTAGCATCCATCGACGACAGAATCTGCAAAAAGAAAAATAAAAGTGGGGTCAGTATTTATTTCACGGACGGAAAATTTTGAACAACGTCTTTTTTAATTAATTAAAATTCTAAAATTTTGCAACGGAATAATATCAAAAGATCTCAATCATAGATGTACATCAAAAATTAATTATTTTCAATAAGAAAACAAAATGTGTCAATAATAATCCAATTTATGGTACCGAAGGAGATTTCCGTACATTTTTCCAAAACAGAGCGCTGAGTCACTAAATTACCTATCTTAGGTCAGTACCAAACAGTGAATTACAATATATGCAAGGTCGTTTCTCGTTCAAAATATCATCTCACGTAGATATAAAATTACGTCACTACTTGTCGATATTACTGTATAATATGTAAATTACCCCTTTCATAAATATGCCTGTACCAAATATTGTATTTTGCATAAAGAAGCAAAAAACTAGAAATGAAACTACTGTCTATTTGAATGAAAAGATCTCTGAAGAATTATTAATTACTTCCTCTAATGCGGTTCAATGATTTTAATTATTAACCAAGTCGTGGAATATTGTATTAATTGAAATTAAAATCCAGTCTTCAGATTGCCATATATACTTTTCTTTATAGACACCTATATAACATTAAGCTATGTATATATATATTGCACGATATTATAACATATTTTCAGTTCACCGCGAGATTCTGCGATAATAATCTCAGAAATAATCACTCGAAAACTTACACACTTCTATGAACAAGATAATTAATTTTTATGTTCTCATTCATTCATGGAATCAAAGTCTATTAACATGAAACTTAAGAAAACATTCATATATATTATTTTTAAATAATTTTTATATTTTAAAATTAAGATCAATTTATTTATTTATGTTTATTGATAGAATTAACGTTATAATTTAGATTTTCATTTGCAATAATTTAAAAAAATAAAAATTGTCACCTAGTTTTTAATTATATACATATAAGTCTCATATTTAATTGCCAACGAATTGGAATAAATTTCCACTCTTAATCTTAAAAATAATGATAATAATAATAATAATAATAATAATAATAAAAGAACGAGTTTTTCGTAATAAGATTTAGCATTCCACGAATATCAGAACGCCTGGCTGCCAGGTGTCTAGAAATGATTGATATCGCACGGAGTCTGCACGAAAGTAATTACGATTCAATGAGCGGAGTCCCGTCAAGCTGGTTTTAAGCGAATCAAAGTGTCGTACGCGCGTTTAGAGCAATTCGCGATTGACAGACAGAACAATAGTACAAGAGTGTTGTATGGACACGCGCTCATGGGACCCGTATCTCAGCCCACACATAGATTAGATTATTTTTAGGTTTCTTTTATCATATCGATTTGCTGTATATACATTCTTTTTATTATATACAAATCGACGGGCGCGGCTTTGATTTCATGTTTATAGAGAGAATTATTCCGGATACTTTTTACGGACACTGTCAAACACAAACTTATATTTACTTTATATATACCTATATATAATAATAATAATAATAATAATAATCTAACGGGTCCATGAGATGTAACTCTCTTAGATCGTTTGTTATGATTTTCTTGTCATTCACAATGTCTATTTCAAATGCAATCTATTCATTGTCCACTAGCCCAATCTTTCATCATTTAATCGTTTCATCATTCAATCAATATTTAAATCCAATGTAAATTTTGAGAAAAATCTAATCCAGAGGAATTAAATATTTTTCTGCAAAATATAAATGAAAAAAAAATGATAAACCCTGCCGGATTGTATGATGCGAATGCTCCACGAAATTAGCGAAGCATTCGTAGAACACGAAATTGAGATTGAAATTTTGTCTCAAATATATAAAAAATGATAAAACATATAGTTAAATGATTGAAACAATAAGATTTATGTTTTTTATGATGATTATTGTTAAAAAAATATAAAAATTTAATGTTTTTATTAATTTCAATCTACTACAGTTTATTATTAACATTTGTTGATAAAATCAAAAGAGCCGCACTTTTTGATTGGTCCAGCGGATGCTGAGCTAAGCTTAAAAAAATCGGGAGAGAAATTTTCGAAAAATAAAATTTGCGAGATAATGATTCGGGAATAATGCCAAAAAATTGAGCAAAAAGTCTCGAACAGAAAATGTATGGCGCACTTTTTGATTGGTCCAGCGGATGCTGAGCTACACTTAAAAAAATCGGGAGAGAAATTTTCGAAAAATAAAATTTGCGAGATAATGACTCGGGAATACCGCCAATAAAATAGGGAAAAAGTTCCGAACAAAAAATGTATGGCGCACTTTTTTATTGGTCCAGCGGATGCTGAGCTACACTAGAAAACAAATTTGAAAAAAATTTAGAAAAATTAAATTTGCGAGATAATCGCTCCGGAATACATCCAACGTCATTAGAAGAAAGTTCTGAACAAAAAATTTATGGCGCACTTTTTGATAGGTCCAGCGGATGCTGAGCTACGCTTAAAAAAATATATGAAAAATTTTCGAAAAATTAAATTTTCGAGATAATCGTTCGGGAATACCGCCAAAGTCTTTAGCAAAAAGTAGCGAACAAAAAATGTATGGCGCACTTTTTGATTAGTCCAGCGGATGCTGAGCTACAGTAAAAAACAAATTTGGAAAAAAATTTGAAAAATTAAATTTGCGAGATTATCGGTCGGGAATACCACCAGTAAAATAGTCAAAAAGTTCCGAACAAAAAATGTATGGCACACTTTTTGATTGGTCCAGCGGATGCTGAGCTACACTCAAATAAATTTCGGAAAAAAATTGCAACAATTAAATTTGCGAGATATTCTTTTTAGAATATAACCATAGTATTTAGAAGAAAGTTCTGAACAAAAAATGTATAGCGCACTTTTTGATTGGTCCAGCGGATGCTGAGCTACACTCAGATAAATTTTTTAAAAAATTTCGAAAAATTAAATTTGCGAGATAATTGGACGGGAATACCGCCAAAGTCTTAACCCGGGAGTCTCGAACAAAAAATGTATGGCGCACTTTTTGATAGGTCCAGCGGATGCTGAGCTACAGTAAAAAACAAATTTGGAAAAAAATTTGAAAAATTAAATTTGCGAGATTATCGGTCGGGAATACCACCAGTAAAATAGTCAAAAAGTTCCGAACAAAAAATGTATGGCACACTTTTTGATTGGTCCAGCGGATGCTGAGCTACACTCAAATAAATTTCCGAAAAATTTTCGAAAAATTAAATTTTTGAGATAATCGCTTCAGAATGCCATAACTGTCTTTAGCAAAAAGTAGCGAACAAAAAATGTATAGGGCACTTTTTGATTGGTCCAGCGGATGCTGAGCTACAGTAAAAAACACATTTGGAAAAAATTACAAAAAATTAAATTTGCGAGATTATCGGTCGGGAATATCCGCAAAGTAGTTAGAAGAAAGTTCTGAATAAAAAATGTATGGCACACTTTTTGAATGGTCCAGCGGATGCTGAGCTACAGTAAAAAACAAATTTGGAAAAAATTACAAAAAATTAAATTTACGAGATTATCGGTCGGGAATACCACCAGTAAAATAGTCAAAAAGTTCCGAACAAAAAATGTATGGCACACTTTTTGATTGGTCCAGCGGATGCTGAGCTACAGTCAAATAAAGTTCCGAAAAATTTTCGAAAAATTAAATTTGCGAGATAACTGCTCCGGAATACCACCAATAAAATAGGGAAAAAGTTTCGAACAAAAAATGTATGGCGCACTTTTTGATTGGTCCAGCGGATGCTGAGCTACAGTCAAATAAAATTCCGAAAAATTTTCGAAAAATTAAATTTGCGAGATAACTGCTCCGGAATACCACCAATAAAATAGGGAAAAAGTTTTGAACAAAAAATGTATGGCGCACTTTTTGATTGGTCCAGCGGATGCTGAGCTACACTCAAATATATTTCCGAAAAATTTTCGAAAAATTAAATTTGCGAGATAACTGCTCCGGAATACCACCAATAAAATAGGGAAAAAGTTTCGAACAAAAAATGTATGGCGCACTTTTTAATTGGTCCAGCGGATGCTGAGCTACACTCAAATAAATTTCGGAAAAAAATTGCAAAAATTAAATTTGCGAGATATCCTTTTTGGAATATAACCATAGTATTTAGAAGAAAGTTCTGAACAAAAAATGTATGGCGCACTTTTTGATTGGTTCAGCGGATGCTGAGCTACAGTCAAATAAAATTCCGAAAAATTTTCGAAAAATTAAATTTGCGAGATAACTGCTCCGGAATACCACCAATAAAATAGGGAAAAAGTTTTGAACAAAAAATGTATGGCGCACTTTTTGATTGGTCCAGCGGATGCTGAGCTCCAGTCAAATATATTTCCGAAAAATTTTCGAAAAATTAAATTTGCGAGATAACTGCTCCGGAATACCACCAATAAAATAGGGAAAAAGTTTTGAACAAAAAATGTATGGCGCACTTTTTGATTGGTCCAGCGGATGCTGAGCTACACTCAAATATATTTCCGAAAAATTTTCGAAAAATTAAATTTGCGAGATAACTGCTCCGGAATACCACCAATAAAATAGGGAAAAAGTTTCGAACAAAAAATGTATGGCGCACTTTTTAATTGGTCCAGCGGATGCTGAGCTACACTCAAATAAATTTCGGAAAAAAATTGCAAAAATTAAATTTGCGAGATATCCTTTTTGGAATATAACCATAGTATTTAGAAGAAAGTTCTGAACAAAAAATGTATGGCGCACTTTTTGATTGGTTCAGCGGATGCTGAGCTACAGTCAAATAAAATTCCGAAAAATTTTCGAAAAATTAAATTTGCGAGATAACTGCTCCGGAATACCACCAATAAAATAGGGAAAAAGTTTTGAACAAAAAATGTATGGCGCACTTTTTGATTGGTCCAGCGGATGCTGAGCTACACTCAAATAAATTTCGGAAAAAAATTGCAAAAATTAAATTTGCGAGATATTCTTTTTGGAATATAACCATAGTATTTAGAAGAAAGTTCTGAACAAAA